ATCTAGGTGGATTTGAGTACAATATTTCACCCTCAGGCAGATGGGCAGTCCGAGCAGTACATTCAGATCTTTGAGGAGATGTTGAGAACCCCTGTTATTTATTTGGTGGCTAGTGGGATCAGTTTCTACCACTAGCAAAGTTTGCATACAGTAATAGCTGCCAATCGAGTATCCAGATGGATCCATATGAGGCCTTATATAGGAGGCAATATCGTTCTCTGATTGGTTTGTTTGAGTCTGAGAGGCTAGGTTGTTGGTCACCGATTTGGTTCACGATTCTTTGGAGAAGGTGAAGTTGATTCATGAGTGTCTTCATATAGCACAGTCCTAGCAAAAGAGTTATGATGATAGAAAGGTTCGTGATATGGCTTTCATGGAGGGTGAGAAGGTTCTTCTCAGAGTTTCACATATGAAGGGTATGATAAGGTTTGGGAGGAAAGGCAAGTTGAGTCCTTGGTATATCGGTCCATTTGATGTGTTAGAGAGGGTTAGTCAGGTGGCTTATAGACTTGCTTTGTCACCCAGCTTGTTGGGAGTTCATCCGGTGTTCCATGTCTCCATGCTTTGGAAGTATTATGAGGATTAGTCACACGTACTGGATTTCAACTCGCTGCTGTTAGATGAGAATTTAGATTATGAAGAAGAGCTAGTAGCCATTTTAGATAAGTAGTTTCTGAAGCTGAGGCGAAGGATATTGTATCAGTGAAGTGTCAATGGAGAGGTCGACCAGTTGAGGAGGCAACTTGGGAGATTGAGTGTGATATGCAGAGCAGATATCCTCTTCTTTTTGGCACTCTAGGTATGATTCTAGACCCATCCGTGAATTAATATTTATTTAAGAGGGGGAGAATACTTGTTTATCGGATTCAAATAATTGTTCCAGAAGTGGGAATAGGTTCGTTTTGTCATTTGGGACTTGTTTGTAAAGTTTGGATGAAATCCCAATTGGTTAGGCTTAAAGCAGATGCATGGTTGGAAGTTTGGAATTTGATGAACTTAGGAGAAGCTTAACTTGAATTTTAATCATTGATTCTTGGTTTTTATGTTAGTCGTGGTGTTTTGTGCATTTGGACAAGTTTGTCTTAGGTATTGGGACTCGTTGGAAAGATTGGATGGGGCCTTAGAAGGCCCGGGCATGTTTCGGAATGGTTTCGGAGCTTTTGGTGGCCTTGTGCATATCCGGTTCTAGTGTGTCGCAATTGCAATGGGAGGGTTGCAATTGCCACTATTGCATTTGCAAACTAGAGGTCACATTTTCGACATGGTCTTGTTGGGGACCTTGCATATGCGAGGGGTTAGGTCGTATTTGCAACAGTGAAGTCATGAGAGGACCTTTGCAATTGCGAAGGTGTTGTGCCGCATTTTCAACTAGGCGGCTGGTGAGGTCTTCGCATTTTCAAACCTTTGGTCGTATTTGAGAGGGCCGCAATTGCAAGCCAGAGGTCGCAAATGCGATCTAAAGCTAGGTTAAGAGTTGGAATTTTGGGATATTTTCTCATTTTCTCATATTTGAATCCTAGACTTCGAGGGGTAGAGATTTTGGAGAGCAAATTCACTAATACATTGGAGGTAAGCAATTTTCACTTGGATTTGACTTTATATCTTAATTCCCAATGGATTCTACACCTAAAACATGGGTTTTCAATAAAAAAAATTGGAATTTTTGTCCACAACTTAAGAGGGTGTATTTTGAGGATTTGAAGGCTGGTGTGGACTCGAATTTTGGAATATAACCACATATTTGGACTTGTGGGATTATGGGTAGTCGAGATCTACCCTTTGACTCGGCTTTTGATCGTGTGAGTCTGGGTTGACTTTTGGGAATTGTATAAAAGACCGAAGATTTATTGTTTGGGGTTATTTTTTATGGCTTTATTTGACGTTATTGAGTTGGTTTTTACGAGATTTAACTCATTTGGAGATGAATTTGGATGGTTGGCGATTGTTTCTTTATTTTAGCTTACTGGGCAGAGGTAAGTCTCTTATTTATCCTTGTAAGAGAAAACTTTCCCCATTGGTGATATAATTGCTACTTAATTCAAAACTGTGCTACTTCCAAAATGCTCCGGGTGGTCCAAAATCACTCGAGCCACCCGTAACCTCATCAAATCACACCAATAAGTCTATAAATAATATTCGTACGTATCCAAAGTCTCCAAACACATACGATAATATCACAACAATGAATCAAAGGCTAAAATACAAATTGAACTTCTCTTCAGTTTAAGAACCTTCAAACTTCAAATCAAGCGTCCGATTCAAGCCTAGCCGATTTGAATTACAACCAAACTTTGCACACACGCCCCGATGACATAACGAACCTATTCCAACTTTTAAAATAATAATCTGAATTCAATATTATCAAAGTTAACCCCCTGTCAAACTTAGAAACTCTCCAAACCGTCAAATTGCCAACTTTCGATAAAATAGCGTCATAATATTCTAGGAACCTCCAAATCCAAATTCGAATATACGCCTAAGTCCACAATCACCATACGAACCTATTGGAATTATCAAATCAGTAAATCGATGTCATTTACATAAAAATCAAACCTTGATCAACTCTTATAACGTAGGCTTCCAACAAAGGAACTAAGGGGTCATTTGGTAGTGTGTATAAGAATAGTGCGAAATAAGGTGTATTAGTAATGCATGGATTAGTAATACATGTGTTAGTAATGCAAGCATTAGTTATGCAGATATTATTTCTTATCTATTGTTTGGTGTGGTGTATTAAAATTATAATGCATTGCATAATTTTTAAGAAAAATAGTTGTTTACAAAAATGCCCTCATATTCTCTAGCTTTAAGGGACTTTAAGGATAATTTTGTCTTTAACCATACTAATGCATGCATTAATAGCCTTGGTATTACTAATGAAATGGTTTTCTATGCATTAGTTATACATATAATAATACCAAATATGATGTATAACTAATACAAGTATTAGTTATACACAAGTTGAAAAAATGTACCAAACAAGGTATTAGTAATGCATAGAGCTAATGCTTGCATTATTTTTTCTAATATCTCCTACCAAACGACTCCTAAGTGTTCCATTTCACTCCAAAATCTTCCCAGAACCATATCAACCATCCTCGCAAGTCAAAAAATAACAACCAAGCATATAAGAAGCATCAAATGAGGAAAAGATGGCTCAAATATACAAAACGATCGGTTGGATCGTTACATTAGTGATGAACTACATCTCTTGTAATTTTTATGGCATTCTTGTGAGACGCAAAGTAAGAAGCTATGGGTTGATTAAAATTTGGGTTAAATGCAAGTGTTGTTTTGATTTTTATTTATATTAATATTTTATTTTATAATTTTCTCTTATCAGTGTTTGTAATATATGACTGAGGATTTTACATGATAGAATTTCATTATTTACTGATCTATCTAAATACAATCAATATTAATGATTTTCAAGAACTCATACCTTTTTAACTTTATATTATACTCAAGGCAAAATGGCCTAAATGGAACCTATACATGTGCCACTTTGTCATGACGGTCTCCAAACATAACAATTTTTCAATTGAACACTTACACTCCTTCAAACCGTGTATAATAAATGCTTATGACAGGAGACTGGCAGTGCATGTAATACAATCTCCTATACGTAGGTTCAAACCCCCTGGACTAAAGTGGAAGGGTTGAGCTGCAGTTACACAAAGGCAGCTACAAGAACAAAGTTACAGAAGGGAAAACTCTGCTATAATCACTCAAGCCACACCAAAGACACAATCCACACCAAGCAACCAAGCTACAACAAACATGAATTGAAGTGATCAACTGATATTTTGAAGACTTAACGATGGATGTTTTTGTTAACTGTCTATGGTAGACAATATTTTATAAAGCTACTTCATTATATATGTTTCTGTTGACGGCCTGTTGTAGACAATATTTTGTAAAGCAACTTCCTTATTTTGGATATTTTATAACTGCCTATAACAGGCCATGATATTATTAGTGGAAGTGTTGTTGCTGTAATGGAACCTTTGTCAATATCACAAAGGTTCCTTCTTTGTTGAAGCTCGACTTTCAATCGACTTTCAAAAGAAAAGGAGATGACACAAATTGATGAGCAATGAAGAATCCTAGCAAAAAAAAATCTATTTTTCACTGTTGAAGCTAACAAGAAGAAGGCATCAGATTTGGATAGAAATTAGCTTCTATAATGTTCAATAATGGAGAATAAGATAGAAAGAAGAAGATGGCTGTTAAACAGGCCACATTATTACCGTTAGGGCTTTTTCAACTACCCTTACGCCCCTTATAGGCGTGTGAATCATGCACTAAAGCCAAATATGACACATAGGATCAGCCTCGTATCATAAGCGTTTATTATACACGGTTTGAAGGAGTGTAAGGCAAATTGTTAAGTTTGGACGACATGACAAAGTGGCTCAAGTATAAGTGTCATTTAAGCTATTGTGCCATACTCAAATACATTATTTAATAATATATTTTAATTGTATACTTGATATAGGTACATGTGCAAAGCGCATTACAAAATATCGTTCGTCTTTTTATATTTTGAATATAATTTAAATATAATATTTATATAATTCTTAAAAAATTATAGTTACCGAGATAGATTACACGCGCAACATGCGTATCCTATAACTAGTTAATTTATAGGTGTAAGTTATGTGTTGCGTGGCAAAAAAGAATTTACACATCATTTTACATATTAAGCAATTAAAAATAAATTTTTATGATCCTATTAATTGGTATAACTCACTTGTTTTCACATATTAGAATACGGATAATTGCAATATGTATAACTTATATTATATATATGACCAGAATCTAAGTTATATACGACAATAATGGAAAGAATTTTATTATTGATATAGTTTAATTTGAGAAAGTATGATAATTATATGTTTATTAAATTATCGGTTGATATTTATTTTTATGAGACTTGATTACATAAAGTTTTTTGTTACAACACCCGTATATGGAACCTAGGAGTATATATAAGTAGTTGTAAGTTAATGTAGCTTGGTCCGAGTGAAAGTGTTTTTATATTTTGTTTCCTTACAACACAAGAGAGCCGCCAGCTCTAGCCGCAATTCTAATAGTCCTCTTTAGTTCCGTCGCACACGCGGCGGACGACAAGGCATACCTCCACCCTTACGCAACCCGTTAACACTGACACACTTCCACCCCATGTCAGCCACAACTCCGCCGTCGCCGTCGCCGCCGGTCTTCTCTTCGCATTGCTCAAAAACCCTTGACAAATTCCATAATTCCACTTTTATCTTCTCGCGATCCTTCAAGCGTAATAAGGATTTTTCCATTCGATGTGAATTTGAGAGTAACCAAAGGTGGACGGTGGGTTGTGTATCAGCGACTGATCCAATTCATATTATTCTGAAACCTCCTTCAATCCCAATGTCTGCTGCTGCTGCTTTGGGTCCTGCTGGTAAGCATTCGAAAAGAGTTTGCTTATTCTATTGCGATGAGATGAAAGATCTTGCTGAGCGAATTGCTTCTCAATCTGATGCCATTGAGCTCCGTAGTATCACTTGGAGGTAAGATTCGCCCAACTCCTTATTTATTTATTCGACATTGTTTTCTTAGTAAAATTATCTTCTATACTCCCTCCTTCCCAATTTATGACATTGTTTGATCAGGCACAAAGTTTAAGAAAAAACACTTTCGAAACTTGTGATCTAAAATAAGTTAATAGACATACTAGTCATTGAGGATAAAATTGAAAGTTTAAAGTCAAATTCTTTCTCAATATAGAAAGATACTACACGGTTCGTTCACTTTTACTTGTCCACTATATTAAAAATATATTTTTATTTTTACTTGTCCATGTTAGTAAATCAAGAGAAACACAATCTTTTTTTCATGTTTTACCCTTGTCATCAACTACTAATTCCGCAAATTACTTCTCAAGACTTTAATATATTTTTATTTTTACTTGTCCATGTTAGTAAATCAAGAGAAACACAATCTTTTTTTCATGTTTTACCCTTATCATTAACTACTAATTCCCCAAATTACTTCTCAAGACTTTTTAAAATGCTATCATTATTATGGGTAAAATTGTAAAATGAGTACTTCATTTATTTTGTGTAAAGGGAGTGTAAAGTCAAAAGTGGACAACTAAAAGCAAACGTAGAGAATATTTTTTTCGGACAGGCAAAATAGAAAAGAATATCACATAAATTAGGGTAGAGAAGTAATTCTTATGAGTTAGTAGAATTTAAATATATTTTAACTAATCATATTAAGTAGTGGTATGTTATTTTCTTTAAAATTATTTACACAGTTCCATTTTATATAGCTGTATTTGATTAAGCATGGAGTTAAACAAATTTTTTTACTTGTATAATACATTAGTGATTGTGGGAAAAAACATTGAATTTATGGATAAAAGCCGGTTTGATAAATAAGACACCATATCAAAGAATTTAAATTCTTGAAAGTTTGTGAAGGTTGTAAAGACCTTCGCCAAGTAGGGGTAAGGTCTGCGTATACGCTACCTTCCCCATATCCCACTTGTGGTATTAAACTGGATAAAGGAATAATGCTATTGAACGATTTGGGATGTCCCAAGATGGAAAGTGTCATATAAATTGGGACAGAACGAGTAATTTATAACTAATTAATGAGCGTAGATGAGGTGGAAGACCGAGAAGAAATAAAAAGGGCAAATTGCTAGCTTTTATTAAGGGTTGTATACTGAACCAGAACTTTTAACTATTTACCTAATTTTTTATTCTACTCTTTCTTTTGTGTAATATACAAATCAAACTAATGCGTTAAGTTCAATGTCACATAAAATGGGGCAAAAGAAGTACCAAATTCATTCTGGTTAATAGGTCCACAAGGGTATACTTTGGAAATTGGAGTTTTACCTGCTTACGATGAGATCAAAGTTCCCTTCTTGGCGCCATAGAAACATGCTTGTCAAAATAATTTTAAACTAATAGTTTGATTAGATATATCTATGTTATCTAGACTTGGATAACAAATTTAAATCGAATTTAAGTAAAATGAGTGAGAGCGTAGAATTAATTGGGTTTTCTAACCCCTATACTTGCTGCATTATTAAGGGGACATAACTTAATTGAGTAAGAGGACCACAAGTACTATTTATTGTATTATTTTGCAAAGTTGATTTGGTCTAAATCAGTGTTGTCAAAGGCTCATTTAAGACGCGCTTAAGCCTGAAGAAGCTCAGGGTCACCTCACTTGAGCTGCGTTTGTGTAGGCAAGGTACCAAGACGTGCCCCTTATTGCCCATGAGTTCTATCTCGAATGGAATAATGCTAGAATATAAATATAACCGGCAAATAAGTATATTACTCCCTCCGTTCCAGTTTATGTGAACCTATTTCCTTTTTGGTTCGTTCCAAAAAGAATAATCCCTTTCTAAATTTAGAAACAATTTAGATTAAACTTCCAATTCTACCCTTAATGAGAAGCTTTTATAACCACACAAATACTCTGAAACCCTTTTTGACTTGTTTAGGACCACAAGTTTCAAAAGTTTTCATTTTTTCTTAAACTCTGTGCCCAGTCAAACAGGTTCCCATAAATTGGAATGGAGGGAGTAGTTGTTAAGGAAACAATATAAATGAATTTGTTACTTTTCTCTTTAATTACATATGCTCCATCCGTTTCAACTTATGTAAACCTATTTCCTTTTTAGTCCGTGCCAAAAAGAATGACCACTTTCCATATTTGGAAACAATTTACCTCTATGCAATGATTTATAGCCATACAAAATATATGTGCCTCATTTTACACCACAAGTTCAAAAGTTTCTCTCTTTTCTTAAACTCCGTGCCCAGTCAAATGGACTCACATAAATTGAAACGGAGGGAGCATATTTTTCTTTTTTTCTTGCATTGCGCCTTTTTTAACTAAAGTTCACACTTAAATTGCACTTTGGGCTTAAAGCCCCAACTGACCTAGAATGCTTTTTAGAGCTTTTCGCCTTTGACAACATTGGTCTAAATAAATTCAGGACTTTCGAAGATGGATTCCCAAACCTATTCATATCTAATGCTCATGGCATCCGTGGACAGCATGCAGCTTTCCTTGCTTCATTTAGTTCTCCTGGAGTGATTTTTGAGCAACTATCAGTTATTTATGCATTGCCAAAGCTCTTCGTTTCCTCATTCACGCTTGTCCTTCCGTTCTTCCCAACGGGCACATCTGAGCGCATGGAAGATGAAGGTGATGTTGCCACAGCTTTTACGCTTGCCAGGATTTTGTCAAACATCCCAGTTCCTCGAGGAGGACCAACTAGTTTAGTTACCTTTGATATCCATGCCTTGCAGGTGTATACCAAATTCATGGCTTCCTGAAAAATCTGATATTTTTTTATATTGGTCATTTTCTAGCTTATATGTCATTGTAATCTTAAGCTGACGCTTGTTTATGTGACTTCTTCGATTACAGGAGAGGTTCTACTTTGGAGACAATATACTACCATGCTTCGAGAGCGGGATCCCCTTGCTTCTGAATAGGCTACAACAACTCCCTGACTCTGACAATGTAAGTTTTTTTCCCTTTCCTTTTATCGTGGTATGAGGTAACATAAACAAGTTAATCATATGTTTGACATTACGATGCTGGAAATAGCGGTGTTTCTCTTCCGAATTTATTTGTATTCTTTGCAAAATCTGATTTTGAGGAACTCCAGTAAACTAACATGTTGATGAATCTTATAGCACATAAAGCGAAGGGATCGTGAGGATATTGAAACAAGTAAACTTCTCATCTCTTTAAGCTAAATGTTTTTATCCCTTCAGCCCAACCTCTTATGGGTAAAACTGGGTGGATGTGACTCGGTATTCTTTAATAAAAATGAGTGTATTAAGAATCAAAGCATCTTCTCTGGCAGATTAGCTACATCAAGCTTAATAGCTGTTTTTTTCCTTTTTGATAACTGTGGTGTCCGGGCCAATTTCCCCACACCTCAACTAATGCACTGGACACCTGCTAGCTCCCACTAGCACATATTCCGATTAACTTTGTCCATCAAAACTTAGACCGATGGAAAGAAATCACTATCATTTTTCACCTCTGATGGGATTTGAATCCTGCTCTGTAGTTATTTGAGCTTGATTGTTGCTAGGCCATACACTTGGAATTAGTAAAGCTTCTTAAGAGTTGTTCTAGTTTTGATGTCCAGTTCAGAGTCTTCAAAGATTTGCTCTCATACAGATGTACTGTTAGGTTTATGTTCTATTCCGATGTGCTTATAAACAGAATGAATTTGTATTAGTACTGCCTTCCAATAACCAGAGCCTATAGTTATTTTTTCCAAACTCGTGCTTAGATTCAACGGTTCAGAATTCAAGCATGAACTAGTTATGAACGATGAGTCTACACTATGATTTTAAAATTAATGAATTCCTTTGGGTTGCTTTTCCCATTACATGAAGAAAAATATAAAGGAAATGAATTCCTTTGGGGTGCTATTCCCATTACATGAAGAAAAATTAAAAAGGAAATGTAACGGTCTTTTTGGTCCTAAAATTTGTAGATCACATAATGTGCTTGTGACATTGCAGGATGCCGTGTTTTCACTTACTACTTGTACGATTGAAATAATGGAAGTGGTCAATGGTTAAATATTTCTTTCCTGCTAATAATCGGTGTCCTGTTGCTTTCTGTAGATATCTCTAGCTTTTCCTGATGATGGTGCATGGAAACGTTTTCACAAGCAGCTTCAGCATTTTCCAATGGTATTCCTTCAAAACTAGTTTTTTGCTCAAAATAACTCCATCAGCATGGTGATCATACATTTATATTCATACTTTTATGCTTGTAAACTTGCTCCTGTATGTTCTAATATGGGATTGAATTATAGTTCCCCTTTTTATTGTCTCGTATCTTCAGTTTCTTCGTTATGCACTTGTATTTTACAAATTGCAAGGACTGTTGACCTTTCTAAATGCCCTCTAGTACCTATGCTGAAAGTTATCATAACCCCCTTAAATAAGTATAAATTGTATTTTACGAATTGCAAATAGGATTATTGACTTTGATAAATGTGTTCGAGTACTTGTGACCCAAAGATGAAGGCCATAAACCACTCCTTTATATGACCCAAAGTAATTAGAAATTTTTTATTACCAGGGAAATGTGTACAAGCATAAAACAAAACCATATAGCTTTCATACTAAAGTTGGACATATAGCCCCAACTCTAAAGACATCTTAAACTAAACAGCACCAATACTCCTAATTCAAATCTGAAACAAACTAGCTAAGGATAAAAGTTTAGCTCCTGCAGTTGTTTGGCTAGTCTGGGACTCATACTTCCTCTACAATGAATCTCTTGAACTATTGCTCTAACAATATCATCACTGTTCCTCTTCTTCATGCGGAAAGTTCTCCCATTTCTCTCCTGCCATATATGATAGACAGCACTAGAGTTAAGGCCATTCTTTACACTGCTGCTAATGCAGTGTTATTAAAAGCGCTCGCTTTAAGCGCTGAAGCGACGCGAGGCGTAGGGCCATCGCTTTTCTGCTACAAAAGCGACTCACATTTAAAAAGCGCTCGCTTCTCGCGCTTAAGCGAGAAGCGCCTCGATGGAAAAGCGATAAAAAAGCGTGCTTAAGCGAGCAGAAGGCATCTACTAAGGTTTTTTTAAATTTTTTTGGCAAATAAGCCATCTGTTAACAAATAAACATACGCTCTTCAACGACTTCTTCTCCAGCGACGACGAAGTCTCCAGTTCTCGGTAAGTTTCTTCAACGACTTCTTCTTCTTCTCTTCTTCTTTCAATTTTTTTCACTTTTTAAGCGCTGATTTTGTGCCCTAAACGACTTCTTCTTCTTCTGTTCTACTTTGTGCTCTGTTTTATGCTTTATGCTCTGTTTTTTGCTTTATCATCTGCTTTATGCTCTGTTTTCTGGTTCGTGTGAATTAACTGTTATTTTTTTTTTGGTTGTTGATTGTAGTATCTATTATTTGCTTCTTGATTCAAGAATTGAAACATTTGCTTAATATGTTATTTTTAATGAGTTCTTAGCCATTTATCTATGCCTATTTTATTTTTTTTATTTATGTGTTAAATTGCGCTTCACATGAAAAAAGCGAGCGCTTCGCTTCGCGCTTTTCGCTTCGGTGAAGCGAGGCCTCGTCGCTTTTTTGCACTTAACGCTTTCCAAAACACTGTGCTAATGGTTGTCTTCCTGATGCATATTTTGTAGCCCTGCTGACCTCCTCAGTCCAACCTTGTGCATCCCTATTGATTCCTATCCAGTACAGCAGCTTTCTCCACGTTGCTGTTGAGTAGTTGCACTTGAAAAATAAGTGTTCATGGTCCTCTGCTCCTCCTTCACATAATGAGCAAAATGGACTGGTTAGTATGCCCCATTTGATAAGCTTGTCTCTGGTGTATAACCTGCCCTGTAATGCTATGTATAGTATAAAGATCCACTTAGGACTACTCTGATTGTTGCACAACAGCTTCCTCCATTCAACTTCAGGAAAGTCTCCTCTAAGTTTGTTATAGATGTCTCTAATGGAATAGCTTCCTGCATTCAAAATATCCTCCACTCTTATATTTGCTTCTGTTAGGTACTTTGCAGCACTTAGGTCATTTTGAGTTAACCATGAAGCTTGCTTGGCATATGTATTCCATACCACACCTTTCTTTATGTAATATGTATGCATCCATTATATCCATAATCTATCCTCCTCCTTACATAGATTCCGTAGGTGCTTTAGGACTGGTGCTTTATTCCACCTTAGTATGTCAGTGATGTTCAGCCCTCCTGCAGACTTGGGCCAACACAACTTCTCCCAAGCCACCAATGCCTTCTTGTTGCCTTCAGATCCACCCGTCCAAAGAAAATTTTTACAAATAGTTTCAAACTTCAGAATTATCTTCTTTGATAATGGAAATATTTGTGACCAAAAGGATTGGATGGCAATCATAACACTCTTAATCAATTGCAACCTTCCCGCATACGACAGGAATTTTGCTGTCCAATGGTTCACCTTTGCAAGCATCTTGTCTGACAGAGGTTGACATTGAGCCATCGATAATCTTTTTGTACTCAAAGGTACCTCCAGGTATCTAAAAGGTAGAGAACCTACAGAGAAACCCAGGCTTTGTGTAATCAGCTGTTCTATATCTAGTGGAATCCCTCCAAAATAGATATAACTTTTGTCTTGGTTTGCTATCGCGCCTGATGATCTTGAAAATTGTTCAAAGCTGTGAGAATACACGAGAGAAAAATCTATTATTGATATTCTATTAAGTGCTTTACAACAGCCCTATTTATAACTATACACAATACATATTTTACTCATATTCCATGTGGGACTAGGGTTATTTTCATAACTATCTAACGCTCCCCCTCAAGCCGGTGCATACAAATCATATGTACCGAGCTTGTTACATATGTAACTAATACGAGGACCGGTGAGGAATTTGGTGAAAATATCTGCAAGCTGATCATTTGATTTCACAAACTTTGTAGCAATATGTCCTGAGAGTATCTTTTTCTCTGATGAAGTGACAGTCAATCTCAATGTGTTTAGTTCCTCATGAAACACCGGATTTGATGCAATATGAAGGGCAGCTTGATTATCACACACAAGTTCCATCTTGCTGATTTCACCAAATTTCAACTCCTTAAGCAAATATTTGATCCAAACTAGTTCATATGTTGCCACATCCATTGCTCGATATTCTGCTTCTGCACTAGACCGAGCAATCACATTTTGTTTCTTGCTCTTCCAAGACACCAAATTACCTCCTGCTAAACCCAATATCCAGCTGTAAAACGTCTATCAGAAGATGATCCTACCCAGTCAGCATCTGAATACCCAACAATTGGCTTATGGCCTCGAACTTCAAACAATAATCCTTTGCCTGGAGCTGATTTTATATATCGAAAAATGCGGAAAACTACATCCCAATGACTATCATAGGGAGAATCCATAAACTGACTCACCACACTCACGTGAAAGGAAATGTCAGGTCTAGTTACTGTGAGGCAATTTAATTTACCAACCAATCACCTATATCTTGCAGGATCGCTAAGCGACTTCCCCATTCCTGGTAGAAGTTTAGAATTTGGATCCATAGGAGCGTTAACAGGTCTACAACCTATCATTCTTGTCTCCTCAAGAATGTCTAAGGCATACTTCCGTTGTGAGATCACAATACCTGAGCTAGACTGAGCGACCTCAATACTCATAAAATACTTTAATTTGCCTAGATCCTTAGTCTGAAATTGTTGAAAGAGATGTTGCTTCAACTTAGTAATACCATCTTGATCATTACCGGTAATAACAATATTATCAACATAAACCACTAGATAAATATTGAGATTTGAAGTAGAATGTTGATAAAACACAGAGAGATCAGTTTCACTATGAATCATGCCAAACTCCTGAATAACTGTACTGAACTTACTAAACCAGGCTCGAGGAGACTGCTTTAACCATAAAGGGACCGGCGCAACCGACATACAAGGCCACTAATTCCCCCTGAGCAACAAAACCAGGTGGTTGCTCTATATAAACCTCATCCCCAAGGTCACCGTGAAGAAAATCATTCTTAATGTCCAACTGATAGAAAGGCCAATGGTGAACAACAACTATGGATAGAAAAAGGCGGATTGATGCTATTTTAGCCACGGGAGAGAAATATCACTGTAATCGAGCCCAAATATTTGGGTATACCCTTTGGCAACGAGATAAACCTTAAGTCGATCAACCTGGCCATCTGGACCAAACTTGACTGCATACACCCAACGACAACCAATAGTAGATTTACCCGAAGGAGGAGGAACAAGCTCCCAAGTACCACTCGTATGTAAAACAGACATCTCGTCAATGATAGCTTGTTGCCATCCTGAATGAGACAGTGCTTCACCTGTAGACTAGGAATGGAAACAGAGGACAAAGATGATACAAACGCATAATGGGGTGATGACAAACGATGGTAACTCAATCCAACATAATGAGAATCTATGTTGTGCGGACTTTTCAAAATGTTGTCGCACCTGTGTCGGATCCTCCAAAAATACACTACTTTTGGGGGATCCGACACGCACTTGGCGACATTTTAGGAGAGTACGAGCAACATAGATGGAAATTAGGATTAAGTGTGGACCATATACCTTTCTGAAGTGCAATTGGTTGACTATAAGGAGACAAGTCCACAGTAAAAGCATGGTCAAGTACAGGACGTGAATCAACTGGGCTTGATGCTGGGCGCAGACGACGATGATAAGTTAGGAGTGGTGGAGCTGTAGAAAGTTGAACTGTACTAGGTGATAGAACTGGAGCCGTAGGTGGTGGAGTTGGAAATAGAGCTGTAGGTGGTGGAGCTGGAGCTGTAGAGGAAGATGAACGGGAGATAGTGACTGAATCTCCAAAAGATAGAACTGGTAGCACTCAGAAATATCTAAGTGATTACCTGGATCTGTGAAGTATGATTGGGCTTCAAAGAAGTTAACATTAGCAAACATAAGGTACCGTTGGAGGTCAAGTGAATAGCATCGATATCCCTTTTGCATTTTCGAGTAACCCAGAAACACGCAGTTAAGAGCACGAGGAGCTAACTTGTCTTTTCCTGGAGTAAGGTTACGAACAAAACACGTGCTCCCAAAGACACGGGGTGGAAGAGAGAACAAAGGTGGGAAACAAGACAGAGAATGGAACTTGATTCTGGATAGCTGAGGATTGCATACGATTAATAAGATAACAAGATATAAGAACTGCATCCCCCAAAACGCAACGAAACATGAAATTGTATGAGTAGGGTACGAGCTGTTTCAATAAGATGTTTATTCTTTCTTTCAGCTATCCTATTTTGTTGAGATTTGTACGGACATGATGTTTGATGAATAATCTCATGAGAGTCCATAACTGCTGAAATGGGGAAGACAAATGCTCTAGGGCATTATCACTACGAAATGTGTGGATAGAAACCCCAAATTGATTTTGAATTTCAGCGTGGAAGGTCTGAAAAATAGAAAATAACTCAGATAAATTTTTCATCAAAAATATCCAAGTGCACCTGGAATAATCATCAATGAAACTGACAAAGTAGCAGAATCTCGAGGTAGACATCTGAATGGACTAAAGTGAAAGGTAATTTTGCTCAATTATCAAGACGTCGAGGAGAAATGGGACCTAGTACGCTTACCGAGCTGACATGATTCACACTCTAGAATGGACAAGTGAGATAAATCAGGTACCATTTTTTGAAGTTTTGACAAACTAGGATGTCCCAACTGTTTATGTAATAAATCTGGTGAATCAGTAACAAGACGAGTTGTTGAAAGAAGATAAGATGTGAGTCCATGTGATTTTGTAAGGATAAGTAATAAAGTCCATTTGATTCATGCCCAGTGCAAATGATCTGCCTTGTACTGCATTCTTGTGTAAAATCAAGGTCATCAAGAAATAAAACAAAGCATTTAAGTGATTTAGCTAAGCGACTAACGACTGTGAGATTAAAAGGACTACCGGGAACATAAAGAACTGAATCTAAAAGTAAGAAAGGAATTGGGCTTGCTTGACTTATTCCAATTGCCATGGTTTGAGACCTGTTGGCCATTGTGGCTGTTAGAAGAGATTGAGAACATGAAATAGTAGTGAAATGAAATTTGTTACCAGAAATGTGATCAGATGCACCTGAATCAATGACCCTGAAATCACTTATAAGACCTTCCTACAGTTGGCAGTTCAGTTAATCTGCAATCTTCCATGAAATCCCTTATTTCATTTTCCTGGACTGTGATACCATTTATCCTGTCATCCATATCCAACATTGCGTTAAAGTCACCCATAATCAGCCAGGGACTATTCATCTGATCTTCTAACTCCCTTAGTGTCTCCCATAGGGCCACCTCTATGAGAAATTTTATGTAGGCCATAGATAGCAGTAAAAACGAAACGCCTAGTTGAACTATTGTTGCGTACTACCCCATGTATGAATTGTGTATGCCTCTGCAGTGTAGTAAACTGTACGCTTGTAGGGTCCCATATCCATATTCTCCCTCTGACATTAGAGGAAGCATTGGAACACCAGTTCCAGCCAGATACAACCTTTTCTATAATTTCCTTAGCTTTGGTTTCTTGAACTCTATGTTCAATTATTGGTATTAGATTTATCTTATTTACCTACAAGAATACCCTCATCTCCTTTTGCTTATAGACTTTATTAAAACCCCTCACATTCCAAGTAGTATCATGTTGAACTAGTTTGGGGTGGTGCCTCTTCCACATCTTCACCTGTACTACCTTGTATTTACCTGCAGCATCCCAAATCACATTTTCCTCTTGTATCCCTACTCTCAATGGAGAAAATCCATGGGTATGGATGAGAGTGCTCTGAATTGGAATCAATTGGCTTGTTTGTACGCACCTTCCTTTTGCTCTCTGCCAGACATCTCGATCAGCTCCTAGTGCATGTGATTCAGCCTGCTGTGATTGAGTCACTCGTTTGCCTATGTTCTTGTCAACCTGTTTTATTGGTCCTCTTTCCCACCATTGGACTTCTGGCTTTTGGCTCCTAACCTTCCTGCATATTTGGATTTTTATCCTGCTGATTTGATGTTTCTGCCTTCTGCTTTTGTTTCCCATCCTGTTGCTTTATCACTTGTGTCCCTGGTACTCCTTTTGGTCCATTGTAGTTGCACCAACCATTAGACACTTATTACAGTATTGTGGTACCCAGTCATACTCTACCACCTCATCAAATTCCTTCCCAGTTTGATCCTGCACTCTAATGCTTCTAGGCAACTCCTTCGTAATGTCCATTTCGATGAGCACTCTGGCATAGGAAATCCTTGTTGTACTCGTGATGCATTCATCAGCATATATAGGGCATCCCCGTCCACTAGCAATTCTACTCAAATCGACCCTTCCCCAACAATTCAGTGGCAAGTTTGGAAAATTTACCCATAATGGAATAGTCTTTAGAACTTCATCATAGAAATTAAAATCAGCAGACCACGATTTCAGGATTACTGGCCTATTATTTATGGTGTGTGGCCCTAAGTAAACTACCTCATTTTTTGTCCTCCACGGTATTGAAAAGTATGACAAAATACCCCTCATTATGATAGTATACCTTTGGTTTAGCAGCGAAATTCCATTGTGACGCTACGAATCTCTCATGGCACCAATTGGTGGAGATTCTCCAATTACATATGGAATAATAGCCTTTTTCCATTTCTCATTCTCAATCTCCATTTCATCCTGTTTCAGTTGTACCTTCCTGATTCCATCCTGAATCAAAGGGGGAATAAATACTAGATCCATTCCCCTTGCCGGCATCCTGTTACCAGAGAACAATTTTGCCCATGTTTTCTGGCTGTTCCCATTGATCGGTTCTACCTTTTTCTGAGGTACTGGAATGGCATCACGTTGTTTCTTCTCCCTCTGCTCTTCATTTACAACTATTTTGCTTGCGCTAGATTTAGCCTCTTGAGTGAAAGCTCCACGCATCTCCTAATCCTCACCGTTCGAAACAACCGTTCTCGCTACAGTAGAATTTTCTGGGCTTACTACTCCAGTCGTCATACCAGCTGAATTAGGTGTTGAATTCAGCGTACTAGTACTCGGGTTTCGTGAATTGAGTGTTGAATTCAACTCTGGAGCACTTACTCCTCCTGAGTTCGGGGTTATCGAGCCTTTCTCCTTTTCACAAATTAGGGTTTCATTTTGCGATGATACCCTTCCCATTCCCCCACTCCTTAAATAAGTACACAGTGACTAACATTGTAAAATGATCCCTCCCTGCCCCTTACCTACCAAACAAATAAAAGATAAAGAGAGAAAACACCAACCCTAGCTGATTTGGGATTTTATGCATGATTGATGGTTCATTGATGTTTTATCTTTGGGGAGTGTACCCTTCCCATTCCCCTCCTCTTTAAATAAGTACATAGTGACTAACATTGTAAGTTTGTAACATGATCCCTCCCTGCCCCTTACCTACCAAACAAATAAAAGATAAAGAGGGAAAATACCAACCCTAGCTGATTTGGGATTTAATGCATGATTGATGATTCATTCATGTTTTATCTTTGGGGAGGGGGTAGGGAAGAGGGAAGTGGATCCCACTATGTTATGAGCTTCTTAAAATGTGCAGTATGTGAGCTTACGAAGTTTGCGCGCATGTCTGTATTTGCATTGACCGCTACCGTATGCTATTCAGGTTGTTAGTTTTCTGGATTTGGCAGGCTGTGCATGTCATCATCATCTACTTGTTCTGGTTGAATATAGTTTATTCCTTAAGAAATTGTTGGGTCCTTCAATAATCAAGCTGCTGGATTTTTTATCATCTTACTGAAAGACTATCTTTGCTTTTCAATTTTCTTACATCTGGAACCACGTTCACGCTGCTCATTTATATATGGCCTGTTGTGGTTGATTATCAGATTGTCTGTGCTAAAGTTAGGGAAGGTGATCAACGAATTGTACGGATTAAGGAGGGAGATCCTGCTGGACGTCATGTGGTGATAGTGGATGATCTTGTACAATCAGGTGGCACCCTAACAGAATGCCAGGTGAGAAAGCTAATGGTGCTGACTGCTGGTTACATCTGAACAAATTTGCTTCCCCTCACATTAGGCTAGAGCGCTATACGTTTATGATCTGGTCGGTTAAAAAAAAAGAACGGAAAAAAAACATTCTAATCTAGAGTCGAATGCTCCTCTATATTTGGTTCTGATACTTTTGTAACTCATTTCCATTCTGGCTAATCCAAGTTACTTGGCAGAAACTGGTGAAGCAGAAGCTATTTATGTATGGTTTTTTGTTTGATGTAGTCTCTGATAGTGAAAAGTTGGCCGCATTTAGGTAAGTCATGAAATCCTAGCATTTAAAAGGTAGAACCGAAACAAAGCGCAGAAAGTACCATTCTTGGGTCCATGAATTCAAGGTACTGCTTTATAGCTGTTAGTTCTGTATGCTCTAAAACTGGAGAAAATCATTTAGATTTCTTTTTTTTCTTGTTGAAGGGTTGTCTTCTCAACGAGAAAATTATGAAATGTGGAGAGGTAATAGTAGCATATGTATCTTCTTAACAAACCTGATTGTTAGTATGCGCATTTTTAAAAATACTTAGATGCAGAGTAGAAGTATAAAATATTTTACCATGCTGTATTGAGTTGACATTCTTGAAAATTGAAATATACTTTTTCTCTTTTGTTATTTAAAGTAGCAAAACTATTCTCTGCCTTTTTGCAGAAAGTGTTGGCTAGACATGGAGCTCAAAAAATAAGTGCTTATGTGACCCATGGAATTTTTCCAAACAGATCATGGCAGCGTTTTAACCACGACAAAGGAGGTAGGCATGTGTTCTCGGGTTCTTATATTAGTATTAATAATTTCCTTCTATAAGATTGCTTCTGCCAAAATGTCAAAGCCCTTAAAATCCTTGCAGAAGGCTCAAGTGTGTGGCATCATGTTTGAGATCTCTTATGATTTATTAGACTTTTATGTACCCTTATCGGGGAAAAAATCCTGTATCTTTTAACAGGTTTTTCCCTAAATAATGCTAAATTACCATGCTTTAATGTGCTTCTTTTCGAAATCTTCCTCTACTGTTCTTTTGGGCGAGTGATGGTCTTTTCTGTTTAAATTGTGCATTGCCTCTATCCATTTCATGAAAAATTCCTTGTATAGTTGTTTCATCTTTCGTTGAGCCGAGGGTCTATCGGAAACAGCCTCTAGGGATAAAGTCTGCGTACACACTAGTCACTACCCTCCCCGGAGCCCAGTTGTGGGTATATAATGGGTTTGTTGTTGTTGTTGTTAGACTGGACCAATTATGTACTAATAAAATTTGGCAACTGAAAGTAGATGTTATTCTGCAATACAACACATTCAGGCACCAAGTGTGTTTGCGCGTGATCTTTTCTCTTTAGGTTGAAATTTCGTCCGTATTTAGCAAATTAATATTAAAATTTGTTAGCATAGCTAGAAGTTTTTAAATTCTCAATGAAATGGACAACTGCACTCTGAATGCCTGTCTTGAGTTTTGGTCTATCCTCCTTTTGATTTTTCTCATCCCTGTTTACCTTTTAACCTTTTCAGGTAGTCCGGAGAGTGGGATGACTTACTTCTGGATCACAGATTCATGCCCTCGAACAGTGAAGGAGGTGAAAGACAGAAAGCCATTTGAGGTTCTGAGCCTCGCCGCTCCCATAGCAGCTGCACTTCAGATTTAATTGCAGATCCTCCTAAGCTGTTTTTTCATTCTTTATGTTCACCTTTGATTCAAGATGTATAGAGAAAGCAAGGAGAAGTGAGCTCTTCCAGGCAGCACTACCGCAATAACTGGTGCTACTCAAGTGTCTTGTGTCAACTAGGAATTTTGATTAGACAGAACTTTCTTAGTTAATCTAAGCTTCGATTGTAGCATAACTAAGATGTTTCTACTCTTTCAAAGTTCTTCACGGAGATGATGAATGTACCTCGAGAAATGGATCCTTTCTTTCACATAAAATTGCTTTCTTGCATGATATGCAGTTCTTATTTCTAGCCGTTGTGACTTTCAAATTGGGAAGAAAGTGCAGTCATGCTACAATTTTGTCAGTGGATCATTTGTTGGCATCATGCATGTGCTTACCATGATAAAAGAGGAGGACATAACAAAGGAGATACTGGAATTTCTAGGTTATCTTCAATGAAAGCAAACTTTCTATCTATACCCCCTCTTTTCTATTCCTTCTTGTTCATACCTGCAGATTTTCAGACCATTTTTATCCGGCCTTCCAACTGGAAATCAAAGCTGACAAGAGCTATTAGTTCGTTCAAGTACCCTTACATGAATAAGCTAATAGTGATACTGACAATAAGTTCATAACTAAATATCAGAACAGTTCTTTAGATCAGTTCTCAAGTCCTCTACGGAAGAGACCTTGTCAAGTAGGGAAAAAGGGGGAACAGGATGAGAGAAGCTTGCCCAAGCAAAATTGAAACATGTGAAAATCTTTCGGACATGTACAACAGATTTAAAAGACAAAAGATACAGAAAACAATTCTGAATTTCAACTTCCATCATCTGCACATGCATATGGACATAAACCCATTACACCTTTGCTGGGATAATAATGGCTGGCCTAGGACGAGGAAGGAGAAAATCCAACATGCCTCAACTATGATATCACTTTGTTAGATGTCTTGATGTAATTCAGGAATCTTGTCAAGGCTTTGCCACTATCAATGGCTTCTCTGGCTCTATCAAAAGCTGCACTTATGTCTTGCGCTCCATCAGACCCAAGCAAATGATCGATCATACCAGCATTTAAGACAATTCTATCATATGTTGGACCCTTCTCTCCACGTAAAGCTGCTAAACCCAACTCTATATTCTTTGCAACCTAAAGAAATTTACAAAGGAACAGAGGTTTAATCATCTTGATTTACATTACCACCAGACGGACAAAGCTCGAGGAATAGGCTGGAAATACGAGAGAAGCACTCAAGTTGAGGCAACTGGCCTTGACTTCTGTCTAGAAGTTTCAAATCCTAAACCAAGTAAACCGATGATATTGGACCACATGGTTAACTTCACAAAATATAGTCATTTATAAACTTTTAGAATTGATGCAGCCACCAAGATAGAAGTCCCAGTATATACAATGGCAAAGAGCAATCAGTGTAACATGCAAAATGATAAAAATCACTTATCGCTCTGACAAATTTTGGTGCTAGTAAATTAACAGTGAAACCTGGAAACACAGAGCATTTGAAAGAGAACAAGAGAGACAGAGCTTACAGATCTATCTGTTCTTGGAGTATCTGTGGGTGCAAAGCCATAATCCTTAGCATTAACCTCAATATTGAAACTCTCACGTGATACACCTGCAACATCTTAAAAAGCTTGAGCTTGCTGAAAAGATGCTTAAAACCAGCTACCTCATGGTCTATTTTCTTTAGAATGGGTATGTTGTTTTTATGTACTTGGAGAAGCAGGAATTTAGCAACTCAACATAGAAAGTAAGGGATAAAATCACTGACAGTATGGTAAACACGTACCATCAACTGCACAAGCAGGTGCCAAATTCACTGAACGAAACCCTGAGCAATAATTCACAGGAAATCTTTTTGATGCATTTGCTGTCCGCAACCTCGTCGTCATTGAAAGTGCACCTTCCTCACCCTAAAGATGCAAACATCTACAGAGATTATGTACAACTCGCGAAATCAATATTGCCACTGGTTTTCTCAGGTCAGAGATGATAATAAACAGCAGAGGGGACCATCACCACCGCCCCACCCACCCCAAAAAAGAAATCTTCTTTCAGGTCATGAAGTACCTTTACAACCAAACCAGCATGCACACCCCTTCTCCTCATAAGCATTAACAATGGTTCTTCATAACCTTCGTGATAGAAACCAGCAACAATTGCTTCCTTCCCCCGAGCCTGAAGAGAAAACAGAACAATTCAAATAAAGACCAATTTGTCCAAGCTGCACGGAGCTTCTGCTTTTAAAAATACAAATTGAAGAAAAGAAAAAGCCATCTAAGAGCCTATAACTTCTTTCTAAAGAACCTACATGTGATTGAGAGTCAATTGAATTAATTCATGACCAGTTCCAAGCTAAGCTCATAAAGTAAGCAGAACAAGATAATAACATACTTGAAATTTAGAAATTTAAATACGTAGACCTAAATGCATTTTTTGTATTTGGTACAAAAGAAACAAACAGTAACATGACCTACCCGCACAATTTGTTGAACTTTCTCAGCCGTCGCCAGTGGTGGGCGTTTCTTTATATGTTCCCTTAACCCTATCAATGAGTATCTGAAAAGACAATAACATATGGACCATCATGTTAGCTGCTTCTTATTATCATGGAAGTTTAACACAGGTTACATTCATAAAGCAATGATCTAAGGAACAATTTCTTTCTACAACTGAGCTGTGCCTTAAACGGACATATATATAAATACAGACGAAGAACTGACTAGGTGCTTAACCTTCGGGGTCAGCCAATTAGTGGCAAGTAATTTTGCAATTACGTTGAAACTTTTAGCCTCTAGTGATAAGTATAACATATTATCCATTTAAAAAAAATGCAGAAGCCATTTCAAAAAAAAAAAAAAAAAAAAAAAAAAAAAAAAAAAAAGCATAACTTATGCATAAATATTTTAAATATAAATAGTTTTATTTCTTAATTTTCACACGATATTCAGGAATGGAGTAACTGTTCAAAGCCTAGCTAGATATCAGAATTTAGTGTGTTATACTTGCAGTCTTGCACCAAAAAGAAACTGCCTTCTCCCCAAACAAACAAATAAATAAGAGCATGGTAAAAGTACTCAAATAGAAGACATAATGATATCTCACATATTTTTTAAGTAAGCCAAGGAAAGTCAAAAGTGAAGAAGAGACTCAACGGAAGGAGCCACGTTCAGATGGGAAACTGAAATATTAAGAACATCGGGGAAGGGAGGAGTCCAACATATAGAAAGGCTTTGGAACCGCCATACACAATATCTCAAACCATCAGATTCCATGAACCTAGAACTTTAAAAAGCCTTCAGAATTGGGAAGACCAGATTGCAGAATCTATAGCAGAAATATATCCTTTCTATTTTTAACTGCTAGGACAGTTGCTGGGAAGTTAATTGAGGCATTATCTTTCCCTTTAGGACGTGCAAGAAAAAAATAAAAGAAAAAAAAAACAAAAATAAAGAGATAATGATTTGGTTTCTGAAAGGTTGGATCTACGTACAAAGATGGGCGAGCTTCTCGTTGACTTATATAAGCAAAACCAACTTCATCATCCTGAATACAATTTGGATTACTAATAAACTGCAACAGTTTATGTAAGTTTAATGCAAAAAAGGTATCAAGGGACGGGAATGGACCTCAAGAAGCTTTTTAGCTTGAGAGGGGGTTAAGTGTGTGTTTGCTCCCATAAACATCAGCATTTGTTCTTCAGTGATGCCTCCCTGGAATAAGAAAATGAGGTTTGGTTAAACCACTTGCTTCAAAAAAAAAAGAAGAAGAATTGAACGGATGTAGAAATCTATCTGCTATTATTGGATCATAACATTTTCTGCAAACTCAAATTTTCATTTGAAGGTGACTATTTGAGGACAGCTTCTTGCAGCAGGTGCCTCTTCAAGTAAATATTTCCTTGCGTATTCATGTTTTCTACTAGTAAAATCTTTTCTATATATATATATATATATATATATATATATCAGACATAATTTTAGATATAGATATTAAGTAATGGACGTCTTATTACAGCATATAGGCACATATGACACCTTTGGTGGCATCCAATCCACACCATGGAGCAAGCAAGATTCACCATAGCAGGATCTAACAGCAGCAACAAACAGTGTACTTCTGAAGTAGCGGGTATTTCCATCATAAGGCTCACCGTAGTGAGTCAATGAGTTTACATCAGCAACTGGTGCAGGGCCTGAAAGGGATGATGACAAGATTAAAGTAGATAATAAAGAAATGACATTTATCAGCAGGCACGTAACAAGCAACAACCAATGTCATTTAGCAGCAGGCACGTAACAAGCAACAACCAATTCTTTTTAGACAAAAGGAAATAGTATATTACCAAGTTCATTATCAAATGCAAGGCAGTAGGCTTTCAGCTCACGATCTGTTTCCCGATTCATTCGTTGGCCTATCATAAATGCAGAAAACAGTGACTCACTTACACTAGATGATT